GCTAGAAACATTTTGGATAGATTAAATTGACATTGTAAAAGGACAGTTGAAATATTTCTGAAACTGATCGATTAAGCCCTGTTCTCCTTCCAGGAAAGTTTCTGATTCACCAAGAAGTAGTGCTTTTTCAAGCCCTGAATTTTAACACTTTCCTTCCCTTACGTACAATCTCCTTTTGTGTCCTGTTGTCCCCCTCTAACTCCTCCACAGAGTGCTGGCCCCCCATTTCTTTTACAGCTCTTCATTAAGGGCTGGGGTTTGAGGCTTGCTTTGTTGGTCAGAAGGTTAAAGTGGAACTACAATAAACTCCTGATTTAGCTTTTTGAACAGTAACACAGCCCACAAGTTTATTTATGAGGAGCTGCTGAAAGAACAAGGACTAGATTGTGGTGAAGGTATGGGATACAAACATCTCTATACTCCCCTTTTGGTCACCTTAGAGAGAAGCTGAAGAAATGAGGACTGGTAACAGACAAGACATCTGGACATAAAAGGAGATGAGATGTAAACGATGTGGGAGGAAAACCATTAACAATATTTGGGGGCCTTGAATGGGTATTTGGAGCAACAAGTTGGTAAAGTGATACAGAACATTTCATATCGAGGTTATGGTTTCAAATCCAGCCTATGTCCGTAGTGACCTGTGAAGGGCTGTTCAGTATTCTGTGGGAAATGAATTGCTGATGTCAGTCTAGTTCCTGCCAGACAGGAACCCCTGTCACAAAGCAAACAGCACACACTTATTGGCAGTATCAGTAGGAAAATGGATCAAATGGGTAGAGAGGCAGAAGCATCCATCTTCCCTAGTGGCTTTCTGTCTCCCAATCAGGGTTGAGGCGCATGGGAGCTTGGAGTTGCAAAAATCTGTATGGCTTCTGTCTCTGCTCTACCATTACTGTTGATTAATTTGGGACTTGACAGTAGAGGAGGGCCGGCTCCAGCTTTTTTGCCACCCCAAGCGGCAAAGGGAAAAAAAACAAAAACAAAAAACGATTGAGCTGACGCCGAAGAAGAAGGGGAGTGAAGGACCCGCCGCCGAAGACCCGGATGTGCCGCCCCAATAATGGACGGAGTGCTGCCCCTTTCTATTGGCCTCCCCAGGCACCTGCTTCCTTCGTTGGTGCCTGGAGCCGGCCCTGCAGTAGAGGGACCTTATACAAACACTGTGTTCTCTCAGGATTATAGGGGAAAATACGGAAAAACTATTTCAGAGCAGTACTGTATTAAAATGTAAAGCTCAGATAGGAATTCAGGCAAATCTCAACTATTTTTTGAGACAACAGCCCTATGCAAATGCTTCTGCACAGATCATCCTTGGATTGTTAAAACTAATTGAGCAGTAACACTGGTTCCATCTTTTTGTTGCTTTTAGCCCCCAGTCTCTGGGTAAGGCTGATATAATAGGTTCTATTTTGATTTAAACTACATAGGGATCTCTGTTAATGTTCAATGTGACAGCTTCCTACCAAGCTAGGTACCTGGTATAGTGCAAGGCAGGGGTGCCGGAACAGGCAAGGCCCCATCACTTTATACCGGCCATAAGGGCGAGCAATGGGGGAGAGGGGAAGAGGTGGTGCAAGAGCAGGGCTTCGGAGGGAAAGGGAGGCAGGCCTGCAGGGGCAAGGAGTGGTAGGGGCAGTGCCATGGCTTGGGCACCGGTGGCCTCCCACTTTTAGTGAGCTTTCACTGCTCCTTGTGCAGGGCATTCACTTTAGATACCACTAACCCAAGCGCTGGCACTGACACACAGACATAAGAATTTAAGAATGGCCATACTGGGTCAAACCAATGATCAATCTAGCCCAGTATCCTGTCTTTCGACAGTAGCCAATGCCAGGTGCTTCAAAGGGAATGAACAGAACAGGTAATCAAGTGATCCATCCCCTGTCACCCATTCCCAGCTTCTGGCAAACAGAGGCTAGGGACACATCATAACATGGTTTTGCATCAATGCTCATCCTAGCTAATAGCCATTGATGGACCTATCCTCCATGAATGTATCTAGCTCTTTTTTGAACCCTGTTATAGCCTTGGCCTTCACAATCTCCTCTGGCAAAGAGTTCCACAGGTTGACTGTGCATTGTGGGAAGAAATACTTCCTTTTGTTTGTTTTAAACCTGCTGCCTATTAATTTAAATTGGTGACCCCCTAGTTCTTGTGTTATGAGGAGTAAATAACACTTCATTATTTACTTTCTCCATACCATTCATGATTTTATACACCTCTATCATATGCCCCTTTAGTTGTCTCTTTTCCAAGCTGAAAATTCTGTCTTATTAATCTCTCCTCGTACGGAAGCTGTTCCATACCTCATCATTTTTGTTGCCCTTTTCTGTACCTTTTCCAATTCCAATATATCTTTTTTGAGATGGACAGCCAGATCTGCATGCAGTATTCAAAATGTGGGTGTACCAGAGATTTATATAAAGGTAATATAATATTTTCTCTTATTAGCTATCACTTTCTTAATGATTCCCAATATTCTGATAGCTTTTTTGACTGCCACTGCACATAGAGTAGATATTTTCAGAGAACTATCCACAATGACTCCCAGATCTCTTTCCTGAGTGGTAAAATTTAGATCCCATTATTTTATATGTATAGTTCGGATTATCTTTGCCAATGTGCATTACTTTGCATTTATCAACATTGAATTTCATCTGCCATTTTGTTGCCCAGTCATTCAGTTTTGTGAGATCCCTCTATAACTTTTCGCAGTCTGCTTTGGTCTTAACTATCTTAGGTAGTTTTGTATCATCTGTAGGGTGTGGGGTGCCTATATAAGAAAAAGCCCCCAAAATCAGGACTGTCCCTATAAAATGGGGACATATGGTCACCCTAATCATCTACAATTTTTGCCATCCTACTGTTTACCCCTTTTCCAGATCATTTCTGAATATGTTGAATAGTGCTGGTTCCAGTACAGACCCCTAGGGGACACCACTATTTACTTCTCTCCATTCTGAAAACTGTCCATTTATTCCTACCCTTTGTTTCCTATCTTTTAACCATGAGAGGACCTTCCCTCTTCTCCCATGACATCTTACTTTGCTTAAAAGCCTTTGGTGAGAGACCTTGTCAAAGGCTTTCTGAAAATCTAAGTACACCATCCACTGGATCTCCCTGGTTCACATGCTTGTTGACCCCCTCAAAGAATTCTAGTAGATTGGTGAGGCATGATTTTTCTTTACAAAAACCATGTTGACTCTTCCCCAACAAATTGTGTTCATCTGTGTCTGATAATTCTGTTCTTTAATTTACTCAGTACTGAAGTTAGCCATCCTGGCCTGTAATTGCCAGGATCGCCTCTGGAGCCTTTTTTAGAAATTGGCATCATATTAGCTATCCTCAAGTCATTTCCTCAGAAGCTGATTTAAATGATAGGTTACACGACCACAGTTAGTAGTTCTGCAATTTCACATTTGAGTTCCTTCAGACTCTCCAACACAGTTATAATTAACAAAGGTTGCAACTAAAAGAACTACTTACATTGGTTCAGAAAGCCTAACGGGTACCCCCTTCTGCCCATCTCCCTCGGGCTTTGCCCCTGCTCCCAGTGAAGTGGGAAGATGGGCAGCCACTGGTTCTCTGCTAGGGGCCAGAGAAGGAAAGGGACTGCAGCCACTGCAGCATTGGCTAGTGTTGTGAGGCAGGGGAACCCCCAGCCACTTGATTTTCTGGCTGTTTGGTCTGAGGGGGTCCAGGCCCTGAACCTGCTCCCTGGCTGGTCAGGGACTAAGGGAGGTGAGCCCCCTCTCAGCCTGTGCACCAAAGGATTGACTGCCAGAGTGAGGGTTATGGAGGAGGTGATCCTGAAAGTGGGGTGTGGAAGGAATGAAGAAGGAGGGGAGGAAAGGGAATGGGGAAGAGGGGAAGGAAAAAGGTGCTGGGGAGGGGGGATAAATTTGAGCGATGTCAGGCAGTTGTTACATTCACAGACTAGAAGGGAACAGTTGTTGCCAACCTTTCTTTGAAGCAGGGATCCAGGAGAGTGGGGGAAGGGCTGACACCCCCACCCCCTTGGTGCATGGGTCCTAGGGAGTAGGGGAAGGGCCTTGGAGCATGATTTCCTGCATAGGGGAGTCCCCTGAGGAAAGAAACAGAGGACACTTTATGAAAGGGGGGTATGCCTTGCTGGTGCCATCCCATCATGGCTATGTGGGGGTGTTGGTGGGTGAATTCTCCCCTGGGATGGTCTGAAGCCCCCTCCCACATACAACGGGCACCTCTGTTGGGGGTGGAAGTGGGGATCCCCCCACGCTGAATCCTGGCAGATAGCAGGGGAGCCCTCCCTTCTGTTAGCCTGCTGTGGCAAGGAGTGGTGGCAGGTCCCCATTACATGGTTGCGGGGGGTTCCCCTGACACTAGCATCCCAGCAGGTGGGGGCTCCGGTGGTGGGGCTGAGGCAGTGCAGGGAGCTGGGGGGCCATGCTGGGAGGGAGCCCAGGGCCTAGGCGGGGTGTGTAACTGATTAACAGAACATCCTGAAGGTGTTTCAGCTGATCAATTCCGATAGTAAAGACCAAAACTGCTCTCAGCTGGGGCCGGTTCCTGCAGCTCTTACTGGGACCATGGGAGCCGGACGGGGACTGGTGCTTGGAAGTCTCTGCCAGGCTTCGGCCCGGGCAAGGCTCCCTGCGTGGCGGTGCAGCAGCCAGGCTCGGGAATGGCCCGACAGACGGGGCAAACCTGCGTGCAAACCTTCAGGAGCGATCTGCCCTTCGCCGCCGAGCCTAGCGAGAAGTGGCTGCGGGGACAGCCCGGCGGGAAGGCAGCGAGAGGAAGAAGAGCGCAGAGCCCCTGGTGCGCTGGGAGGGGAGTTGGGCGGGGGGTAAGTTGCTGTCCATCTGGCCCGTGCTCTGGGCGCTCCGCGAACGGGGCCGCAAGGAGCCAGGCTCGGCTCGGCGCCCGCAGGGAGGGGGAGCGGGAGCGGGAGCGGGGCGAGCCGCGGGGAGAAGCGCACAGGTTAGCCGAGCCTCTCGGAGCTGCCGTGACGCGGGGGGACGCCTCGTGCGGCGAGTCTGACACACACACCCCGCCTGCAGCTCCCGGTGCCTGGCTGCCCCGCTGCTGCCGCCCCCGCGCGTCCCGGGACGCCTGAGCCGCAGCGCGCGCGGAGCGGGACCTGCCGCGGGCAGCCCGCGGTGATGCCGGGGGCTCGATGATGAGCGGCAAGCGCGGGTCTGCCAAGCCCCAGCTCCGGCGGTCATTCAGCGAGCAGCTGCGGGACTCCACCGCCAAAGCCTGGGATTTACTGTGGAGAAACGTCCGCGAGAGACGGCTGGCAGGTCAGTCCCGCGAGCGCACTGCCCCGGCTGGGAGTGAGGGATCCTGCCCTGGCTCCCCTCAGGCGCTCCTGCCGGAGCAGTGCCCGCTGCCAGTGGGGTCCTGTCCCGGCCCTGCTCAGGCAATCACCTGTCTGGCGGCTCGCGCTGTGCAACAGCAACTCCACTCGCTCTGCGCGGGCCTCGTACAGCGCCGTGTGTGCCCTGCTCCGCGGGGCATTAGTGCGGGCTGCAGCTGTGGGAGCGGAGTGGGTGTGCATTAGTGCCTAATACAGCTGTGAGTGTGTGTTGTGTTGTGTTAACTAGTTGTGTACTCTGGACAGCGCTTTGTGCGCCCCCTGGGCAGTTGGGTGTCTGCCCTCTGTCCAGTTTTGGTCTTTGTCCCCTCCCTATAGCGCTGTGTGTGTGCACATTACACACCCACCTCCTCTACAGCTGAAGTACCAAGTTGCTTTGTTTTTGTAACTTCTAAGAGTTCCCATATGTAACAGCTCCTCAATTATTGATGGCTCTTTCAGGTACTATTAGCGAACCCAGCAGTAAGAAGTGAGACAGATCCCCCTATGGAGGAGGCTGAGAGATCCGTCCCCTGGATGTTACAGAGTCAGAGCAGGTCATGGGGAGGGCAATCCGCTCCCATGCCCTTCCTCACCCACGTATCCCAGTCATGTAGAGCATTGTGAGCTCTGCCCTCAGCTGGCTAAGCAGGTGGGATTTAAAGCAGGCGGAAACTGAGGGAAAGGTTTTTGTGTGTGGATGGCAGGGCTGCCCAGAGGGGGGGGGCAAGTGGGGCAATTTGCCACAGGCCCTGGGCCCCGCAGGGGCCCCCACGAGAATATAGTATTCTATAGTATTGCAACTTTTTTTAATAGAAGGGGCCCCCGAAATTGCTTTGCCCCAGCCCCCCTGAATCCTCTGGGCAGCCCTGGTGGATGGTAGGGGGTTAGGGTTAAAACCTGGGTAAGAGCCCTGTTTAACTCTGCAGTGAAGACATTCCCTGCAAGGGGAGACTTCAAAATTACCAGAGCCAAATTAAGAAGTAAACTGCCCAATTACATCCCAACATCCACCCATTATAATTCCTAATTACTGGAGGGTGTGGGGGTCTGGGGCCAGATTTTCAAATGTATTTAGGCACCTAATGATGTAAATAAGCTCCTAATGGGATGTTCAAAAATGCGTAAGCAGGTTAGGTGCCTGACTCACTTCGCAATCTGTCTGCAACGTTTGGGACCAAGATACCTTTGAAAATCTGGCCCCTAGAATCTTAATCCCCTCAAATCAAGTCAGAGGAGACTCAATAAATCACCCCCTTCAGGAGTGACTCAGGTAATTCTGAGAACAAGATGGCAGTAGCATGTTGATTTTACACATGTAAACAGATGATTAGTTAATATTTATAAAACACCTTGAAGATGAAAAGATCCAGATGGCACCAAGATACACTACATGTGACACATTTGCCTTGTATTTATAATGAAGATTAATTTGCAAAACATGGATTCTTCAACTACATTCTATTGTCTTGTAGATCGTTTAAGGACACCATCTAGGACTTTGTAACATGCTGGTATTGGAGTATATAGGGCACATTTTTCTAATGTAGGCATCTAAATTGTGCCCACAAAATGTCCACAGATTCAAATAGTTAAAATAATGGATACAAATTACATGCTTGTTTTTGAAGACTTAGTACAGACTATTTGGCTATGGCAAAGAACTTGTATTTGTGGAGTAGTGTCTGGTTGTGGGTAGGTACACAGAGCCCCAGAATCCTACTTGTTTATTTCTAAACTTGATAGTTCTGAGAAAGCATAAAAATAAAGAATATTAATATCTCCTTACATGTAATCTGGTTAGCGCTTTGTTAAAAGCACATGCCAGCAGGGCATTCAGCTGGGACACTGGGTTAGCCATCTTCTGTCAAACAGACCTCAACTACTGCTTGAGTGAGCAGAAGGCCTGGGCAGACTGCCACAGAGCAGCAGCCAACTTTTTAAAGGAACTTGGATTAAAATTGATGGAGTCAGGCTTTTTAGCTAAAGTGGCTGTAATACTCAAGTCCTGACTTAATGCACTGCCATAATTTATGTTATTAATTCCATTATAATATGCTGGTGAGTTTGTGGTAAAGGTGCCCTTTATCTGATTACGTGGTTCATTTGACAAGATAACAAAATGTGTACAAATAATATCTGTGGAGCTAACAGATTCCAAATATACTCTGTTCCTCAGATGGTTTTATGTCTCTTGGCTTTCTGCCCTTGCATTTGTATTTATTTGTCTTTGTGTTTATCTTAGTCTTGGCCTCTGTGGCCTCAGTAAATATCCCTGTGGCCTTTCTTCCACTATTCATTAATGAAAGGCATGGAATTTAGGCTGGTCTAAATACGTCATTATTTGCTGGCTGGCTGATCAGCTGCCCATCTGTAGTAATAAATAAGATCACACTGAGGTGAACAGTTGTCCAACTTTCCTTCTCCCCAAAGCTGATATTTATGCTGCAGCCCTGAATGACAATCACACCAGCAGTCCTTGAAAGTTAACTAGGGCTTCAGAAGAATGACCGAGGCGGGAAGAACACTTTTAACCCTTAGCTTGCTGGGGGTTTTTTTTCCTGACTTCCAGCCAAACGAAGGTTCAGGAAACAGTTATATAGCAAATCATCATCATTATTATGAGTGAAAGTAGAAGAGGTTTGGGGGCTCTTATGTATTTATTCCTTTGTCTTACTCTACCTTTTCACCTCTATTTAAGGCTCAAACGTGGGCCTTGCAGGGGAGGAGACCCTTTCATCCACTGAATGGGCTATTTGCATTAACATGTGTTGTAGGGGAAAACAGCTGCTACTCCCCCTCCCATGCAGTTGGCCAAGGAGTGGATGAGCAAGAGCAGGGAGCGGACAGAGCCTTAGCTCTACTCCCTTCACTGCTCCAGGCAGCACAGCTAGGCTGCAGTGGAGGGGGAAGGAAGCTATGCTAGGAAAGGGCTTGTGGAGTGTTACTTCCCCCCCACCCCTTTGAGCAAGGGTGATTAGGAAGCAGAGTGTGACTAAGGGCTGGTGCACACTAAGCCCCAGTTCGAACTAAGATACGCAACTTCAGCTACGTGAATAACGTAGCTGAAGTCGAAGTATCTTAGTTCGAACTTAAAGGTACTTACCGCGGGTCCACACGCGGCAGGCAGGCTCCCCCTTCGACTCCGCCTACTCCTCTCGTGGAGCAGGATTAGTGGCGTCGACGGCAAGCACTTCCGGGATCAATTTATTGCGTCTAGACAAGACGCGATAAATTGATCCCAGAAGCTCGATTGCTTGCTGCCGAACCAGCGGGTAAGTATAGACGTACCCTAAGAGTCACACTCTGGTTCCTACTCTGCTTCTGGTAGTACTAGGCAATTATGCGGTGCCCCTTATTCAGGCTGGATTGCAAGGTGCAAAATACTCTTTTCTTCTGTTCCACTGACCTCGACTTGTTTATTAAATTAGTGGGTATACTTAATATAATGACCTAAGTGGTGCTTTTAGTAGTTTCTGTGCTTTTTTTTTTTTTTTATACTTACCTAGGCAGGTCGTGTTCAGGTAAGATTCTTGTTACACTAACATTTTCATTTGACTGTTTAGAATTCACTAACAGGTTCCTTCTCTGGTGTGACTTTGTTGTTGTCAGTGTCAGTTCAAGACTGGAAAAATAAATTCAGTCATTACTTTTGAGAGATTTATCAAATACACTATTGATTAGATGACCTAATTTTTAAAGACTATCTAGTACACTGGAATTTACTCTAAAGACAATTTAGTGGAGAAGTTTAGGCCCTGATATAGCTACCTGTTTTAAGTCCAATTGAAGTCAGTGATCACTAAATTTAACCACATGTTTGAGTGCTTTGCTGGATTGGGGCCTTGATGATCAGGTTGTCCAAAAGACCATATATAGAAAGACCTTGGATAGTTTTTAACCTGGCCATAAATCTGGACCATCAGACTACCACATTTGAAGAATGACTGAAATTCATTGCTTTATGGATTTGAGTGTTTTTCTTCACATCTTGAAACTCAGTTATATTGTTGTAGTTTAAAAAAAAAAAAAAAAACTAATGATCCTATAGTGCTTACTGAAATCCTGACTCAAATCATGATCATCTACCATTGTAAAATTATAGTAGTAATAATAATAATGGCTTATATTTATTTATGCATTGTTGTTGTAGCATGTTGGTCCTAGGATATTAGAGAGACAGGGTGGGTGTGGTAATATCTTTTATTGGACCAGCTTCTGTTGGTGAGAGACAAGTTTTCCTGCTTACATACAGTCTCTCTCTCACCAACAGAAGCTGGTCCAATAAAAGATATTACTACACCTACCTTGTCTCTCTTGTTTCAGAAGGATAACTTGTATGCAGTTGAAAAGTGCTATGCACACTCTGGCATGCTATAAATAATTACATCCAAAAAACTATACAGAGAGATTGTTAATGTTGCAAAGTTAAACACTCAAAATTTAGGAAATGCCAAAATTAAGATTGCCTGTGCAACCTTAATTTGTCCCCCTGGTGCATATGTATTATGATGCAGTCTTTAGTTACATCATCCCATACTATATTTTCCCCACAGACCCCCTTGCCTCTGTCAGTGCACAGGACAGACAGTGCTCACTGAACGAGCAGCTATTCAATATTTTGTTTTCTCCTCATTGTTCATAGATGTTGTTTACTGCATGCTATTCAAACCCTGCTTTGAATACAGAATTATTAATTTCCTCCTGGACTTTTCTGTGGTGCTCATCCCTGTAGTATCTGAGTGCTTCACAAACATTCATGTATTTAGTTTCACAATATCCCTGTGTGTGTGTGTGTGTGTGTGTGTGTGTGTGTGTGTAGGGGGGGGTGTATTATTACCCTCATTGTACTGATAGGAACTGAGTCACAGAAAGATTAAGGTCAAAAGTGGCCACTAATTTTGGATGCCAGATTCAAAACACCTAATATTTCAGAGTATTTAGTTT